TAGTTTTATATTGTTAGTTTTATATTGTTAGTTTTATATTGTTAGTTTTATATTGTTTGTTTCATATTGTTAGTTTTATATTGTTAGTTTTATACTTCTAGGTATATATTTCTAGGTTTATACTTCTAGGTTTATATTTCTAGTTTTATATTTCTAGGTTTATATTTATAGTTTTATATTTCTAGGTGGTCAGCGGTTCATCATATTTCTAGTCGGGACAAAAAGGTTGGCAGTGGTTCATTTTATTTTTAGTCGGGGCAAAAAGTAGTCAGCGGTTCATCATATTTTAGTCGGGACAATAAAGTGGTTCATAATATTTTTAGTCGGAACAATAAAGTTGGCAGCGGTTCATATTTTTTTTAGTCGGGACAATAAAATAGTCAGCGGTTCATTATATTTTTAGTCGGGACAATAAAGTTCATATTTTTTTATATTTTTAGTCTGTGAATAAAGCCAGGCCCGGGTAAAAATAAATAACTTCTTTTTTAAGGGGAACAGACTGCTCTTGTTCAGCATCCATATAATTAATTCAAATGAACAGAATTAGTCAAAAAGAAAAGTACAAAAATATGTAATTTTATATTAATTCTAATAAAATACGTTCTGTTATTTACAATTCCTAGAATCAAATATACAAACGTTAAAAGCAATATTTAGAATTTTTTAACATATTTTTTAATATATTAATTCAGGGGAAGAAAGACTAAAACCATGCTATTGGCCCAAATTTGACACTCAGTGTCATGTTGGAGTGTTTAAGGAACTCTTTTTGTGTCAAGGGCATATTAAATTAATTAATAATTAAATTAACTGTAAGCGTAATTTCAAGTAACCCTCCCTGCAAAGATGACATTGCCCTTCACACCCTTGAAACCTTAATCATAAAATTTCGTGGATTTTCAAAATTTAATGAAAAGTTTATGTTGTTGGAGGCTAATTTTGAAATTTTGATCATCAATAAAACTTCCCTGGGGATCACGTGAGGTCCCACACAAAATTTGGGTCCGATCGGTTCAGCCGTTTTGACGTTCATTGGATACAAGCAAACACCAAAACAAACAGATAAACAGACAAGCAAATTATATAGTTAGATGAAACTGTTTCCACAAGATACAATTTGAAAAAAGGATTATAATGAAAAGTTTGTGGACTAAGGATTTTATTTAAAATATATATATCAGCTATAAGTAGTTGGGCCAACGGCTGGACCAAATGGACATTTTTGAGGAAACTCATGGGAACCCTGGGGCTAAACAAAATTCGATTTTTTAAAGTCAAATTTTTTTCTTCAAAAATTCAATTTTTTCTTCAAAATTTCAATTTTTTTCTTCAAAATTCAATTTTTTTTCTTCAAAATTTCAATTTTGTTTCAAAATTTAAAATTTTTTTCAAGTGTTTCTTAAATTCTACTGGCAACGCATGCATTTCAGCTAGTTTTTAATAATGATTTAAATTCCTTATACTTAGAGGCATTCCACAGAACATATTTTTTCGATTTTTATTGAGGCATTGTATTTATATTACTTAATTTAAAAAACTTGTAACAATAGTTAAAAAGTATCTATTGTTGATTCCACAAGCTCTAATTTTCTAATCTCTAAATCTTTGCAACCTAATGGTGTACACCTTTGATATTTCAAACTTAGATTATTTGGTCTAACATGATTCCTAGTTTGAAATATCAAGGATCTACGACATTGGGTTGCAAAGATATTGGGATCAGAAAATCAGAGTTTGTGGCAAAGACTCAATTCCTTTATAAATCCAAGTTTAAACTTGATTTAAAAGTTCCAGTCTATGAAAGCATATTTTCTCTGTATAAGAAAACACATGAAAGTTGCTTAAATTTATATCGTCTAAGGCACTGCATGCACTAAAGATGAAGATTAAAATAAGATTTTTGATTTTTACAAAATTAATCTGAAAAATGGAATTGTAGTAAGCCGCACAAGGTTTCCCTTCTCTACATTGTAATCCTAATTATATTAGAACTGTTTACGGGACGTGATCTTCTCCGGAACTGAGCATACACCCTGAGCAATCCGACCCACATAGATCAGACTAGAACTCCGCCTGGAAACCAGAGTACATGCGAGCATCTAACCAACATTGTCAGAAGAAAGAAGANGGTTGATAGCTTAATAGCAAGTCTAACAATTTCGTGATAGTAAATTCATTTCTAGTAATGCTGCAAAAATAAATATGTCTTTGTTATTTAATCTATTAATGAATGAGATGATCATTAATCAGCTTGGTTTACAACTTCTGGATATTAACGGCGGAAATTCTTTTAATCGATTTTTAAATGTTGAAAAAAGTTTACGGGATAAATATTGCATATGGAATTCATCCGGAATAATCGTCCTTTGTGAAGCATTTAGGAGGTAGATTTATTCGCAATTCAGTTAAGAAAAGTTTCGCCGTTAATTTACAAAAGTTTTAAATGATTTAAACGTTTTTTTTACAATTCTTAAATAACATTGACAAAAAAACATGTAACAAATAAGATCCTACCAACATAGTTGCATGTGTAAACTAAAGCAAGTTGAGAAATATAATGAAATTAAATCATTGAAAATTTAAATAAGTTATTAAAAATCACTGGTTGGAGGTTTTCTTTATTATGATTGTGAAGACGGCATTTTGGAGAAATCTTAGAATAAAATAATAGAAACAGCAATAATGATGATGATACTGAAATAATCGATTCTACGGTTCTACTATATGGCATGATAATTTCCATAAATCTAAATATGTTCCTAAATAGCAAATTAGTCTGTAACATAATTTTTAACATTTTTTGTCCGAGTTATTAAATAATTAAAAAACTTTCGTCTACTGACTGAAACAGCTGGTGAAATATTACGAACGACTTTACGCTCTTAATTTTAACACTGTAAAAGTTTTATTATTATCAAATGAATCCTTAAGTTAGAAGTTAGAATTATGAAAATGATGGTATGTTTAAAAATGATGGTATGTTTNATTATTACCATGGACTCCAGGTTGAATACAGTTGAGTTAGAAGAAATTATGAACATGGACTGCAGGTTGTAGGTTATCCGTATGTTAAAACATGAGGTAGTTTTATCAATTCTAAGAACTTCATATACAGAATAACTGTTATTTTGCGTAATTTTACAGAAGTAAAACAACAAAAACCAAAAAATAGTAAAATTTGCGCTAGTGTTTCAACAGTCATTATCTTTAAATATAAAGTTGTAATCTCTGTTTGTTTGTTTGTTTGTATGTCCGAGTATGGATGTGATGAACAACGTGTCAGATTTGCGTCACAGTTTGATTTTATAACTTTGTAGAAATTGGGTTCTTAAACATTCTTAAATGGGTTTTAAATTCTAAGGTGTTTGGTTTAACTTCTATAGGGATTATTTCAGGCAAAGCTGGGTCCCATTAATTCGATATAATGTAATATGTTTGACCTCTATATAGGAATTGAGCTTGTCTCTCTATATCTAAAGAACGTCAAAACGGCTGAACCAATCGGGCCAATTTAGTGTTCTTCCGGTAACCCACACGACCCCAGGGTAGGTTTATGTACTTTTAAAAGTAAAAACAATTGCCTAAAAAAATATATATCTTTTATTTTCGAAATCTATTAATTTACCAACATAAAAATCCACAAAATTTGAAGTTAACACTTGACAAGATCTGTCAAAAGTTGGATTGGTTGACTTTCAAGTTATTTTCAAACCTGATCTATACTGTGTTTTATAGCCTAGATACACGAAGAGTAACCTAGAACCAGGAAACCAGGTTTAAATGTTTGGTTTAAAAACTAATAAAATCCTGACTTAATTAGTTCCTCGCATCTTCAAATATTCTCAGGAGGTCTATATATATATATATAAATATATTATTATTAGCAGGGTTTAGCCGGGATTATCGATGTTTCGGACAACATTTTAAAAAAATTTTATACAAAATATTATTACAAAAAAAATTAAAAATATTCTGTGAACACTGAAAAAAGAATAACAATTATTTTTTAAAAAAGTTTGAAAATTTTGTCCAAAACATCATTTAACCCGGTTTTTTTTATTACTAACCCTGTATATCCTGGGTAGAAACCATCAGAATAATTGTTTCAAGGACATGTCGTCATTGGTTGGAATCCATCTTTCTGCAAATACAGTGCATGGATCCAAACTCTCCCTCATTACCATGGTGTCGCTTTACTCACCTCTCCTCAACTCCGCTCTCCCAACCCCCCATACTCCTCTTCACATTACACCTCTCATTGGATCTACAGTCTACACCTCTCCTCAACTCCCCTCTCCCAACCTTCCATACATTTCCCTTACTACTCCTCTTCACATTACACCGCTCATTGGATCTACAGTCTACACCTCTCCTCAACTCCGCTCTCCCAACTTTCTATACATTTCCCTTACCACTCCTCTTCACATTACACCTCTCATTGAATCTACAGTCTACACATCTCCTCAACTCCACTCTCCCAACCTTTCATACATTTCCCTCACTACTCCTCTTCACATTACACCTCTCATTGGATCTACAGTCTACACATCTCCTCAACTCCACTCTCCCAACCTTCCATACATTTCCCTCGCCACTCCTCTTCACATTACACCTCTCATTGAATCTACAGTCTACACCTATCCTTTACTTGTTTTCAAAGAAAGTCTAACAATGCAACTATAATAAAACCAGACTAAGAATTGATTTCCGTGGATCTTACGAGATCCCTAAACAATGGTTAATTGGTCTCGGTATTCAGATTTGAAAACCATTTTAAAAATATCAAAATCCAATGAAGTTATGGCCAAATAACGGTACTAAATTCCGTTTTTTTAACTTGTTAATGTTTATGATGAGTTTTTTAGCCCTAACTCACTCAATTTTCAAATTTTTTTAAAATCGCTTTTTAGATTTGAATTCAGCATTAAATTTCCAAGAAAATTAGGTATAACATGAAAATAAAAAAAATGTTTGGGCCTTATACAGTTAATTCTCCGATATTAAATAGTCAAATCGTAACCCTATGGACGATTTTGAAAAAAAAATGTTGATTGCAATATTTTTTAAGTGAAAACGCAGCGACCTCCGGTGGCCGATTGGCTCAATTCCAATATTGATCACCTTTAGTGGGCAACCCCCCCCCCCCCCCCGAGCCTGTTTAGGGGTTAATGAATTATCATCGAACATACACATCGCCAGAGAGAGTACTACTAAATAAAAGTCTATATATATATATTCATTGCTTGTCTGTCTGTTTGTGTCCAATAAACGTCAAAACGGCTGAACCGATCGGGCCGGAATTTTGTGTGGGACCTCACGTGACCCCAGGGAATGATTAAAATTTCAAAATTTGTGTTTAAAGTTTTTATTTTTGTAAAATTTTGAAAATGAGCTAACACATGTTATGAAATCCGCATTTTTTTATATACTGCATGTTCAAAGAAAAGATGCTCACAGATAAAGTTGTAATAGAAGATATATTTTAATATTTTATATTAAAATACACATAAAATATCAAAATATGACGCACGTCACTTGTGCGAACAATTTTATAGATTTTTTTTCAAACACTTTGAAAGGTTTTACTCAGGGGTTTGATATCTATTTTAGTTGGTGCAAATCAGACCTTCACTTCTGCAGTCCTCGACGTTTTCTTTGTCATTTGACTAAATCATCTCTGGCTCTTGATTAAATCATTAATACCCTTTGACTCAATTATCTTTGCCCCTTGACTGATTTTTTTTGTCTCTTGATTAAATCATCTTTTCCCTTATCTTTGCATCCTGACTTAATCATTAATACTCCCTTACTAAATTATCTTTGGGAAAATATTTTTAGTGTGCTTCGCTCGCAATTTTTATTGTTCCTCCCCCCCCCCCCCCGAAAATTTCGCAATCCGCCGTTCCTACAGGTACACTTTCCATCTCTTTTTCATTACTAACTGGAAAATTGTATCGCCATTTTTCAAAATTATGATTTTTATTTATAAACTTTTTTAATCGATTATTATTAAGAGTTTGATAAGCAGTTCTCATCCTCGACAGTACAGTCTTCCTAAATTAAAATAAAATTTTAATTTATTTAGTTTAACAATATTAATTCAATTAAACTTTAAGAGAATGATGATGATATTTCAAGTAATACTCCTTGAAAAGAGTTGCATCCTGTAAATAGATCGATAGATAGGGTTACATGAAGGGATTGGGAGCGTAATTATAATTTCATTAATAATTAAACGTTAAAAGAGACTGTTAATGTATTTTTAAGTGACCCTGAGACCTCCATGCAAAGATGGCAATGCCCGATTTAAAACGGTTTCATTAAAAGCTTCATGAAACTATATAGTGTACTTTATTAGTATTACTCATTTCATCGTGAATTTCATCGTGAATAATCAACGTGCTATAAAGTTAAATTAGCTGTACATTATTGTACGTGTGCTCTAAAGTTTTGATTGTTTTCTCGGATTTTCTTCAAAAAAATTTAAGATATTTCCAAAATATTTTTTTTCAATTGAAATGAAATAAAATTAAATAAACTTTATATTTTGACGTCTGCTTTGTTTGAAAGCTTATTTGATCTAGAAACAGCTACTGAAATAAGAAAAATACTATTATTTTGGCACGACGTGCTATAAAGTTTTTAAACTTCAATTTTCTCTATATTTCGAAAGTTCTTGTCTTTTTAGATTATATTTTGTCTAAAAATCTAAAAAGGCTTAAACCTTCTCGATAAAGAAAAAATTTCTGTCCAAAAACTTTATAACACTGCGAGCCAAAATAACAGTGTTTGAAATAGTTATTGTCTAATATGAATGAAATTATAATTACACATGGCTTCTCTAAATGAAGTGCAGATTATCTCCGATACTTGAGTTCCGTACATAATGTATTTAAAACATTTTGTAATTCTAATAAAAAATCAAGTATTGAAAGTAACTTTATCTTTACCTATATAAGGTCAATATTTACATAAATTGTTTTTATGTAGATAAAGCCTAAAATTATTTGTTTGCAATAAAATGTCAAGAGGGTATGGAATGGACAATTACCAACTAATTTTAATTTTATTTACTTCATGTAACCTTCTATGCAAATATGACAATGCAAGATTTACAACTGTAACATTAAAACCGTTGACTGATCATAGAAGCCAGAGAACTCTGTGTATTTATCTCTCAAATTGTGTTCTAATTGCTGTAAAACGGGAGTGTACACTAGCATACAGTGTGAAATAAATCAAAGGTTTAAATGAAACTGTCTGGCTGAAAAAGTCTGTATCTTTTGTAAAAATAAAATTATTGGTAAGATAGTATCTTAAACCTGACTTTCATCGCTACATAATCCGTTCTGACAATGATTGTTTATCTAATATTTGAAATATTTGAAAGTTTTCTAGGAGCAATAAATATTAAATATAGGGTTGCCCAAAATGAAACTTCAGTTTTTTGACTACCCCTGTATTTACTGCACTTAGTACTTACCCATCCTGGCCAGGATTGTATTATTGGGTAGAGGGTATCTCCAGGGCACTCCGTTCCACCTGAAGTAAAATCAATATATGCAAGATAATTCTCCTGATATAAAGAGGACAGCTATGAAAAGTTAAATGCCTTGCAATGCCTTTGTTCGTTATTCACTAATAATTTTTTTAAAGCCCTATACCTAGAACTATAAACCACATGAAGAAGTAATTGGCAAAACTCTCGCCGATGATTGCGTGAGAGCTTGCAACCTTTGGATCCTTGTGACAATGTTCATGTTTAAGTGAGTCATGATTTTATACAATGATGAATAAAAAATCGTATTCTGAGCCCGCGATTTAAAAGATTCTGTTCGGGACGTATTTTCTTAAACCTAGCTTTAAGACCCAACTCTGACGACAGCTTGTGTCACAAAATTGACAGCTTTGAGATCTTAGGCTCGATTTACGTTGTTAGACCAAATGAAAATAAAACCGAATTTAGTTGGTTTTAGTGGAGAATAAGGCTCCATGTTGAGTCTTGTTCTCATTAAAACGACAATGCCAACCATAAAAAGCTGTCAAATTCAATATTAAACCGGTTTTAGAACTCAACTCTGTAGAAAATTAGATGCAACTTAAATCCAAAATTCCAAGCCGTAAATAAGGCCCAACGACAGCTTAGACAATTTTTTCTTGAATTTTTTAATCGCGGGTTCTGAAACAACTGACTATAACTTATTCTGGCCAGGAACCATATTATATTCTTAGCGAGAAATATCTGAACCATGCAGACGTAGTTCAACAACTTCTCTTGTGCACCGGTTTCCAGCAAAAGAAAAGGGGTTCAACCATAACTCGCTTTTTACTAAATCTGGTTCCAGGTAATATAAGAAAATCCGGATCCACATAAAAATACTACCGATTGTAACTAGTAATTCATTTGCCTAGTTTCTTGCTCCTCCTTTATTAAAAATAAGTTGCTGGACCCAATTTGTATAGATAGTACTTTTTCATTTTTAGAAAATCCAGATTTTGTTTTTACATTTTTTTATATTATAATTGACCTTGAGGTTTGGTTTGCCTGTGTCCAAACATTTTGTAGTCTGGTCTTATCTTGTTCTGGTCCCTCATACAGAATACCAGATTATGGTAGGCCTTAACATAGGTTATAAAGAATACCAGATTATGGTAGGCCTTAACATAGATTTTACAGAATACCAGATTATGGTAGGCCTTAACATAGATTATACAGAATACCAGGCAATGGTATAGGCCTTAACATATGATTATACATAATACCATCAGATTATGGTAGACTTTAACATAGATCATACAGAATACCAGATTATGGTAGACTTTAACATAGATCATACAGAATACCAGATTATGGTATAGGCCTTAACATAGATTATACATAATACCATCAGATTATGGTAGACTTTAACATAGATCATACAGAATACCAGATTATGGTATAGGTCTTATATTATATTATACAGAATACCAGATTATGGTAGGTCTTATATTATATTATACAGAATACCAGATTATGGTAGGTCTTATATTATATTATACAGAATACCAGATTATGGTATAGGTCTTATATTATATTATACAGAATACCAGATCATAACGATCATCTATTATGCCAACCCAACTATTCATATTAACTATTGAACCTTGCCTTTTTTGCTGAATTATGAAAAAATCAATCAAGGGATTGAACCATGAATAAAGGGATTGTACCTGAATAAAGGGATTGTACCTGAATTGCTGCTTGAGTTGGTTGTTTCAAAGTAAAATCTCCGAGAAAGCAAACACCGTATCCAACACTGTTAAACCCTGATGTGTGGGCTCCCTGTTCAATTCAATTGTTCAATGTTCAAATAAAAAAATCTTTAATGAGAATGTTCAACTATTTATCTTTATATATAAAGTTGTAATCTCTGTTTGTCTGTCTGTTTGTGCGAGTGCGGGCAAATGGCGGGAGTAACTTTTAGTAACCTTGGCAGCGCTGGGTTCCCAAGGTAGTTTAAATATATAATTACCCAACTTTCGGTAATGATAACGGAACTAAGTATTTGAACATTTTTGAGGTTAAAGCATAGAGAATAGAATATATATTAGAGGGGAATTTACTCGAAAAAAGTGTAAAACGGCCATTTTGTTGTACTGTTTCCATACTGCAGGTGTACTTCACATATTTGTGCTATATAACCTTTTGGGGCCTGGAAAATATTAAAAGAAAATCAAATTATGAAATAGGCTGGTTTCATAACTGACAAATGATCATTTCACATAGACTCTATGCCTTTCACTTTACAAACGATGATTTTCCGTTATAACTATAAATCAAATGATGGTTTTTATTCACCTACTTCATTTTATAAAGTTTATTTAACAGCTTTAAAAAATTTAAAATTGAAATGGATAGTCTAGGGAACATACTGTATTAATGTAATCTCTACTGCATATAATTTGTAAACATTTAAATAATTTGTACACTTTGAACTCCATTTCAGGCTGAAAGGGACTGAAAAAAATTATACCGAGAGATTGTCTAAATTCCTCTCTAATATATATTCTATTCTCTATGGGTTAAAGGGATATTGTACCCGTAATTTCAAGTAACCTTCCATACCAGAGGGAAATGCCCGATTTACAACGTTACCATTGAAACCTTAGTCTGATGAAAACTGTGGAAAACAGCGCTATTATTTTGACTAGAAAAATGATGTTTTCTGTTCGTTTCTCCATTGGTTCTTATAAACAAGAAATGCGCAAGTCACGTCCGCAAATAATACACAAATAAAATTAAACAGTTTATAGACATCTTTGCATAGAGGGTCACTTGAAATTGCACTTACAGTCCTTTGAATCGTTATCCTAAATATTAAGGGGAGTTATGTGTTTTTTAAGATTTAAGGTCGCTTTAAACTTTAAAGGAATAGAGCGGCTATACATGGTATTTGAGCTGGAAATGCAGAGAGAAAAACTTTAGGAGTCATTTGATACCAATGAGATATTTATACGAAGTACAATTTTAAAATAAGAGCGTTAATTCACCTGTATCTTCAATCAGCAGAGGAAACGTTTTTTTACAATTCTTAAATAAAATGGACAAAACATGTAACAAAAACTATTCTACAAACTAGTTGCATGTGTATACTAAAGCAGGTTGAGAAAAATCATTAACGTATATAATAGTAATTCAAATTCATATTAAAATCTCGCTGCAGGTTTATGCACATTCTTTTTGCTAGGGTCGGTTATTGGATGTTTTCTTTATTTTAATTGTGAAGACGACATTTTGAAGAAATCTGCTAACACAATTTAGAAACAGCAAAGATATTAATGATAACGATTAATTATCGATTCTATGGTTCTACTATGGCTTTTATCGATCCTTTCTTTAGCAAATTAGTTTATAAAATAATATTTTTTACATGTTTTGTCCAGGTTAATTAAATAGTTGTAAAAAACCGTTTCTTCTGCTGCCTGAAACAATTGATAAAATATTACAATGCTCTTTACGCTCTTATTAAAAAATTGTACATCGTGAAAATCTGTCATTATTATCAAATGAATCCTAAATAGAAATCAATATTATAGTTCCAATTGATTAATAATCTTATTTTCCTTCTTTTAAATTTCTTGATCCTTCTTTATTGATTTAAACCTGAATATTCCAACCGCGTCCTTCAAACACACTTCCATCTCCTCCGATCAGAAAACTTGAAAAAAATAATCAACTCAAAAATTTTTTTTTAATCAATCTAGTTTTGATTAAAAATAAGCCAAAGAAAAACTTATATATCCATACTTCCTTGAACCTGATGTCATAGTCCTTTTATATTATAAACTAAATATGCAATATACCAAATCAAATAGTCAAAGTGTAAAACATCAAGTTGCAAAGATATGAGAATTAGAAAATCAGATTTTGAACGTAAAGCAAGTGACAAAAATGTTCAAATTTTCGGCATTAAAGTTCAAATGCAAGTTACTAGAAAACTCGAAAATCATGAAGTTTACATTTTACTCTTCGTCAAAACAAAAATATTGTGCTACTTAATATTAAGATACCTTCTCTTCGTGAAAATAATATTTTTTTAAACTCTCCCTGTATCACCTGTATCCTATATCCCACCAGCTGTTTCCATCCATATGAAGGTTCTAACAAATAATAAATACAAATTTTAAAATTACAAATATTTGTATTTTCTATGTATTCATTAAACCCATATTAATAAAAAATATCTAATATTTTGAATACAAATATTTTTTTAATTTTCACAAATCAATATCCTTATCTGCGTCATACAAGATCCCAATACAACCTGGATATCCCTGCCAGCTTGAATATAGGATACACCTTTCTTTATAACCTGGATATCCCTGCCAGCTTGAATACAGGATAAACCTAAAAAACCGGGATATCCCTGCCAGCTTGAATATAGGATACACCTTTATAACCTGGATATCCCTGCCAGCTTGAATACAGGATACACCTTATACATAACCTGGATATCTCTTTATACTTGAATATAGGATACACCTTTATAACCTGGATATTCCTGCCTACTTGAATATAGCATACACCTACATAACCTGGATATCCCTGCCAGCTTAAATTTAGGATACACCTTTATAACCTGGATATCTCTGCCTACTTGAATATAGGATACACCTATATAACCTGGATATCCCTGCCAGCTTAAATTTAGGATACACCTTTATAACCTGGATATCCCTGCCAGCTTAAATTTAGGACACACCTTTATAACCTGGATATCTCTTTATACTTGAATATAGGATACACCTAAATAACCTGGATATCCCTGCCAGCTTAAATTTAGGATACACCTATATAACCTAGATATCCCTGCTAGCTTGAATATAGGATACACCGATACAACTTGGATATATCTGACCACTTGGATATAGGATACACCTAAATAACCTGGATATCTCTAAATGCTTGAATACAGGATACACCTATATAACCTGGATATCTCTAACTGCTTGAATATAGGATACACCTAAATAACCTGGATATCTCTAACTGCTTGAATATAGTATACACCTAAATAACCTGGATATCTCTAACTGCTTGACTGCAGGATA